TCATTTTTTTCATGTGTGACTCATTAATAGTTTTTTTTAAAGCATGGATAGTTAAGAATTTCTGCTGGAATTTCAAGAGCAAAAGAGACAGCATTATACCTGGCAAACCAAATATTGATTTCACTGTTGATAGCAAGTCAGTGCTTTAGTAGCCACTCCATTACACCTGAAAGCAAGTGATTAGATACCATTATCTATTATTAGTACTTATATACTGCTAAACCATATCCTATAGTGTAATTATATACTATAACAGCCACCAAAATTGTGAACATCAAATTATGAAATAGCCATAAAATGCAGCATAGTTCTAATATTATTAGAGAACATTTTGGCATTTTAGGAAACTACCAAGTTGACAACATCTTGCAAAAACTACTATTTGGCTTGCCAAGGCACAGCCAACTCTATACTGAACGGTGAGCAGGATGACTTTCTGAAGGCCAACTGGAAACTTCCAAAACAGATAATAACATCTAGAAGTGCAATATTAGCTTATTCTGGTCCATAGAGGGCAGTTGTCTATTCTCAGAAATTGAAGAAAAATTGCTAGAAAACAAATTTATCAGAACTAGAATTAAGTTTTAAAGATTTACTCCTCTGGAGAGATTGAATAAGCAGCTAGTATGACATATTCTAAGCAGCTTTCCACACTTAGGACATTGAAGAAGCTAAACTTATCATAAGCAATTTATTCTGTCATAGTCTTATCATAATAGATTTATTCAAAGTTATCCAAGTGACCAATTGACAATGAAGAAACATGGAATAAGATGGGATTAAACTAGCAACCAAACCAGCAGATTTCAGGAAAGGTTTGCTTGCTATAACCTGGAAGTATTTATCATAGTAAAAACTGGTGATAAAACTTTGCAAGAAAACAAAAGCCTGCACACAATATCTGATTATCTAATAAAATTATGACAGTAGAAAAAAAAAGAGCTTTTTAAAATATCCCTCCATGAATATCGGTGATGCAAGATTAATGTTCATTTGTCTGTTTCTTTGGGACTCTTAATAAAGGTATTCATTATCCTATATCTTTACATATTCCAGAAATTTGCACCCAATGATATGTATGAAATAGCTGTAATTTCTGGTATTTCTTAGAGGTATCACTACACTGGCATTTTTTCCTAAATGCAATTGTTGCGAGGTGAGCACCATTTAATTAATGAGTGTAATATCTTCTGTGTTTATAACACAATCAAGTGCCATATGCTAATACATAGGGTTGCAACAGCAGGAAAACTAGGCTGAGTTTAATCACATGTACTTTATCATTCATGCTGACATCCCAGGATGTTGCCTTTTAGAAAGTCTATGTTAGGAAGATGCACAGAATTCCAGTTTTAAAATAAAGGTATATAACCTGGTTGCTACATAACTACAAAATGGATTTCTCTTTCTACCTGCCTGAGGTCAAAAGTAATGATGTTGCAGTACTGATTTTATAGTTTTGAAACTAGCATCATTAATAAAAGTTTTAAGGTCATAAGATGTAACAAGTTTGGTGCACCCAAAGTTGTTTATTGCCATTGCAATAAATGGTATTAATATAAAAAGTCGTAATGACATAATGACTTGGTAGGCATTTTTTTTAATGGAATAAAAGCACAAGTAGAATGGAATGATGCCATGTGCTATATAAAAGACTTTAGGACAATGTATCCTGATGGTACAGGCCCTTTAATGTTCTTTTTGTCTTTAAGAGGCTAGTCTCCAGCAAGAATTTTCTGCTTATGCCTGATATGTATTTTTCTCCAAATTCATTGTGCAGATTAACATTGGGGAAAAATTACATCAGACTGTTTAATATCTTTTCTTAAATAAACATGGGTTCAAAACTATGCCTCAGGCTGTGGAAAATCAGAAGAGCTTAACCAGGGAAAATAACTAAAAAAAATGGAGAGAGTTTTTGAAGTACTAATTATAGCTCCAGAACCAGTAAGGCAACATGACTACACCAAATGCAATATAAATGAATATTATGGTCACAGCTGACCTTTATCAACAAGCCTATCTAGGTAACTAGTGACTGGAAGGACTGAATAGGTCAATTTAGTCCATCAGAAACTTTATTTTTTACTCCCAGAAGGCTTTGCTCATTGAGACAACTTGGTGAATATAGTATATTTAGGTGAATATATATCATCTTACATTATTCAAAATGCAATGATCAGAGCACAACACATATAAGATTGTCCTTGTCAAAGTCATTTTGCCATGGGGAAAAAGCTTTTATATATCCATCCTTAAGTATTCAGTTGGTGTTATTAAACTTTTTCACGGGGGACAATATCTCTGCATCAGCATTATGAAAAATTAGTTTTCACTTTCTTAGCCACGGTAATATTCTAACTTGTAGTGATTAAGAACTTCATTAGGGGCAAGCACAAATATCCTTGGATGAAGTCTGGCTAAGACATAATGCATATTTATGATGCCAATTAGAGAAGCTAGGCTACTCTGAAACCAAGCAAACTTGTAAAATTAGCTGCATCTGTATTGAAACTTTCTGTTTCCTGAGCTGTTAGCAATCACTACAACATTGCAACACTTGTTTGCTAACCTGTGTGACAGTTATACTAATAGAATGAAAAATGGTACGATTTACATAGGGATAACGAGGCTCTGCTCTTGGAGCACAGCAATTGGCATGCTACTTCTGTAGCCTTATAGCAGAAAGGGTTCATGGGGCAGGAATGTAAGAAAAGCCTTCAAGCAATAAAGCTCTTCCAAGACTAATTACATGCTCAGAATCTGGATAGATATGCTGCCATAGCATGATAATTTCCTTCCTCCTGAACTATTAAAAATTTCCCAGGCATTAAAGCTCAAGTCAGTGTGTTTCCCAGGCTCAGCATCTCTCCAAGAGGAAAATCAATTGGCAAATTCTGTACCTCTTCATTTAATACAAATTTGGTTAAGCTCTTTAAAGAAGATTTGATAAGACACATTCACTTAAAAATGTGAACTGTTTTCAAAGTCAGGTTTCAAAGCAGGTTGATCAGCTTCCTTCTAGGACAATATGCAAAGATTAGGTAGAAACATCTGGGTAAAGGCAGAAAAAAAATCAAATGGATTTATTATGTTGGGAAAAGCAATTTATTTTTCTGTAATAGTTGAAATCTAAGAGAAGTAACAGGATTCCAGATTGTTTCTTGGGGTTACACTATAGAAAGATGGAAGACATGAAAACAACAACTTCCTAAGACCAGGTTAGAGAAAAAGAATAAATTGCTAGAGATCAAAGCCAACATTCTGGATTTTCTCAACACCACTATCAGTCTAGAATAGGGTTCTCAAACTCCCAGCCCACAGGCTGGATGTGTCATTCACTGGCCAAGCCCATGTCCAGTTTAGCGAAGGGGGAGACTCCTGATACGTCATGTGACGATGCCATAACAACATGAGTTTGACACCCCTGGTCTAGAACAGTTTGAGAGTGTCTTACTTCCTGTTCTAATGCAAAATGAATAAATATAACATTAAAGGTTTGGGGGTTTTATATTGATTTCTCCCTAATTATCATCTTTTATTTCCCTACTATGATGTCCATAAAAATATGCCTTCTGGTGGTGCTACTAGCTGTAGAAAAGAGGGCTCCAATAGGAATGTTCCTCTTCCCTAAATTGATAGTGGATTTGACAGGGGTGAATATATTTGTCTGTTTATCATCAGGTGTGAACTGTGATCCTGATGAAAATTGGAGGAGCCCACTCTCACTAATGTTAGCAGCTAATTTGACTCTCAGGAAGGATTCCATAATATTTCTTTCTGAGAAAAAAAGAGGACAAAAGAAAGTAGATAGCCAAATATATCATTTATATCTTAAACCTATTAAAGCTATTGTTATGTGGTGAGTAGGTATTTCTTTTATCACTTAGGAGATCTAGGTCCAGTTTACTCCCATCTGTGGTTGTTACGGGATGACTATGGGCCAATAATCACTCAATCCCAATGTTGTTGTTTGTTGTGAGGCTATTATGAAGGGAGATCCCTATGGGGATCCCCATGGAGAGCCTAAAAGATGGTATATAAATCTAACAAACAAGTAAATAAAAATACAATATATTTCACTAGAATAAGGGAAGACTCTAAGTCAGGTCTTTCAAATCTAATTTAAAGATCCATTAAATAAAAATAAGATCTTTACATTAGACTTGGAATGGAAATCTTGAAATGGAGAATGACCTCTGTAAAGCAGGACACTGGGCAACCCAACCAAAAAGGTTCTAGTCAAAATGAATCAGGATCATAGATTAATTTGAATAGGATCACACTCCCTGTCCCAAATCAGGTAGTCGGTTTAGGAGTGTTCCTTGAACCCCCTTTGTAACAGGACATTCAGAAGTCAGTTATTCGTTAAGAGAACATTAGCAGAGTTCAGACTGGTTCTCAAAATTGTTCCCATTTTGAGAAAAAGGACTTGGTTTATGTGCCACATGCCTAAGTTTCCTCAAAATGAAACTGAAGTTCATGTCTTCTTATTGTTATGTTTTTATTATTCTCCTTATACACAGTATCAGAATGTAACATTATAGAGTGTAATATTTCTATTAAAAAAACCTAAGCTGTCCAAATTATGGTGTTAAGTATAATGAGCCTCTCATTTGTGTATTTGCTTTTAAATCCAAAAAGTTGCGAGAATGTAAAATGAACAGTGAACTCTAAAATCTGGAACCCAAGATAAATGTGATATGTGCATTAGCTCCATGCTGAAATAAATCTTGAGACATCTGTTTCCATCACAAATGATAGTACAGATTATAAAATGTGTAAACCCTTCTAAATTATGCTAGTTTAGTGGAGAGCCGTCTGGCCGCTTAAGCATATTAACAGAAGAACCTCCCAATGTCAACCTCCCCAAAAACATCTGCTCATCTTCTTATTGCAACAAATTCTTATTACTTTTGTGCAACATGGAAATACATCAAACCATTCACAATGGTGGTCTGCATTTGCTTGCTACATTACTAGTAACAAGAGATACTCACAGTTGTAGCGTACTGAATATCCTTCCAGATGGAGGTCTCCCGAGAGAGATCCGAGGCTTCAAAGAGGTTCTCTAAGATTACCTCCCCAATCATGTCATGCCGGGAAAACCTGTCGAAGTCGAAGACACTAAGATGGAGCTTTCTATTGGTCAGCTCTTCATAGGGCACAGGAAATTGAAAGCATTCATCAAAGGTGGGATTGAGAGTTTTCCTGTGCACACGTGTTTGGAACTTGCGTTTTCGGTCAGGCAGGAGGTAGATCTTAACATAGGGATCAGAACTGCCACAGAGGTCCTTGGCAGGCAAGTCAAAAGCCTTGAGGATCCGCACAATCAAAGTCTCATTTTCATAGTCGTATTTCAAAGAAAAATTTATTTTCCCACAGGTTTTTTCCGCTTCTTTCTTGGGGTCCTCAGAGTCCACAGATTTCTGTTTGTACAGCTCAGGCTTGATCCGGCCAATGCAAGTGGGCTGCTCTGCTGCAAGTGGCAGATCCGTGCCATAGTCCACACTGGAAACATGCATCTGTCTGGGCAGGTGCCTCTTGAAAGAAATGTGCCTGCAAGAGTTAAAAGGAGGAGAACATGTTGCATGCCTGGAAATAACTGACATTCATTGTCTGACCCATTATGAGAATATCAAATGGAGCTTAAACCATGCACAGGTCAGGAGCCAAACCTCCGCCCTCCTCAAATTCTGAAATGAGCCACTTTATCTCTTGGATAAAGAAAAATGAGTTTTACAGATGGCACCTGGCACCAACAAGGCTGGCTAAAATCTTAACTAATACCTCCCCAAAATGTTGGAAATGCGAATTGATACACAGAACATATTACCATTTATGGTGGACCTGTGAGAAGACTAACTTTTTTTGGAAAAGGATCAAAAATTGGCTGGAGGCAATAACAGAGATTAAAATAGAATGGAAACCTGAAGTTTTTTAAATTAGGAATAATGTCTGCGAAATACAAAAAAGAAATCCAGTATTTAATACTACATATAATTACAGCGGCAAGGATTGCCTTTGCCCAGAAATGGAAAAACAAATTAATTCCAAGTGAAGATGAAATAATGAGCCGAGGTGGCGCAGTGGTTAGTTAGTACTGCAGGCCACTTCAGCTGACTGTTATCTGCAGTTCAGCGGTTCTAATCTCACTGGCTCAAGGTTGACTCAGCCTTCCATCCTTCCGAGGTGGGTGAAATGAGGACCCAGACTGTGGGGGCGATATGCTGACTCTGTAAACCGCTTAGAGAGGGCTGAAAGCCCTATGAAGCGGTATATAAGTCTAACTGCTATTGCTATTGCTATAATAAGAAAGGTTATGGATTGTGCTGAAATGGACAAACTAACTAAAGAAATCCAGGGAAAAGAAGAATCAGAATTCTACCAGATATGGGATAAATGGTACAGGTGGATGGAGGAAAGAAACAAGAATCAATGAAGGAATATAACAAAACTCAAAAAATAATAGTTATGAGTAAAATAAGAGGGTTAAGAATGGTGAAATCCAAATGAAATACAATAGAAGGGGAAATAATATAAGGTGAGCGGTATCGATTGATAATTGCTATTAGAAAGAACAGGAAGCTCCTATTCGTATTGTATTGTGTAAATGTGCTGTACGTCTAGGTTTTGTGTGCGTGTATTTTACATGTATACATAATTACATAATTTTTTTAAAAAAAATGAGCTTCTGGTGTTAGCAAATGCCTTCATATTTATCTTACATGAATTCAAACTATTAAAATAATTATCATCCAAATAACAGCCTACAATGAACCAGAATGTTTGAAAAAAAATGTTTTAATTTCATCCATCCTCCCTATGTCGTTTTAAATTTCAGTTCAACAGTTGAACAACCTCTGGAGAGCTATATGTCCCCCATTTACTTTTAAACAAAGGAGAAATCACTGTACTTTTGCTGTACTTAAAAGATAACAATTTTTTTTATTAATTTGCAGGAAAGAAAATTTTAAATCTTTTACAACTTATCTTAATAGAGGATTTATGGCCAAGAAAAACTACTATGACTTTAATCTCCTGGGAAATGAGGCAGGGCATCACTTCTTGCTTTTGTTCCCTAACCTACCCCACTAAACATGCTCCAGAGACCAGCATGATTTATTAAACATTCTTATTAAACAATTTGTTGCATCATGGAAGAGGGAGGAGGGAAGGGATTGTTATAATTTATATACAGTATATCCAAGGGCTCTTCCTCATGCACACTCCTTCAGTCTTTGAATTGGCAGAAAAATACGGTGACATAACCTATTCTGCTTCAGTGCAACAGACGCTGTCCTTACAGTTTAAAAGTAGACAAATTAAGGGCAGTAACTAATGGATTAACCTAGTTGTATTTTCTCTTTCACTTAATGCTACCTGCCAGGGAAAAAAGTAACTACCACTCTCCTTAATATTTGATAGGGAAGACTTAAGTTCCTATAGGTGGTTTCTATGATGGAGGCTTAAGCCACCGTCAGCTTGCCCAAGTGACAGGTGAGTGGCATGGATGATGAAGCTATGCTGGTGGGTTTTTTGGAAATTCCTCTCTTGCTTTATCTCATATCTTTTCTATCCTCCATTCAGCTGTCAGTGAGACTATTTTCTAATCCAGGTTTAGTACATTTTCAGAAGAGCAATAGAATCTTATTCAAAAGTAGCCTGAGTGAGAGGTCATTAGTGCAGTGAAGGTACTAATGCCAGGGGCATTGGATTATTTCCTTTCTACTTCATTCAAGATAATAATACTGCTGCCAGCAAGTGGTTGTGATCAGCAACAACTGTAAAATAATCAAAATAGCACTGTCTCCAAAGTAATGAAAACGGTAGGAACTTCAGCTTCATGAATTCCCTTGTGGGTAGAAGCAGTAGGAAAACAGTTCTGTCCTAATTTGAAATAAAACCAACAACACCCAGCTGGCAGAATATGGCTCTCTTTCCTAATTAAATCCCACTCTTTCAAGAGAAGGCTAAAGCTTTATTTAACAAACAGGTCTAACCTTCTGTTCTCAAAGTACCAATCACGTATTACATGGAGAGATACTCCTGGGAAGTCAGATTTCTGGTCACTTTCTGCAGTGGCCATTAGGCAGTGCCTGGCAATTGGTAGAAAGGGAGTGGGGCAAACCAAAAGCCAAAAGCCAACATGGGTTTGTCAAAAACAGATCATGCCAGACTAATCTTATTGCATTCTTTGACAAAATGACAAAATTAGTGGACCAGAGGAATGCCGTTGATATAGTTTACTTGGACTTCAGTAAGACATTTGATAAGGTAGACCATAACCTACTACTAAAGTAGAAGAATGTGGGTTAGACAGCATCACCACCAGATGGATTCGTAACTGACTGACCAACAGCACTCAACGTGTAGTCCTCAATGGAACTGCATCTACATGGAGGTAAGTATGCAGTGGAGTACCCCAAGGCTCTGTTTTATGCTCAGTATTCTTCAACATCTTCATCAATGATTTAAATAAGGGAATAAATGGGGAACTCAAAAAATTTGTAGATGACACTGGCAAGAATAGCCAACACTCCAGAAGACAGGCTTAAGATACAGAATGATCTTGACAAACTTGAACATTGGACACTATCTAATAAAATGAAACTCAATGGTGAAAAGAGTAAGGTTCTACATTTAGGCAAGAAAAAAGAAATGCACAGGTACCATATAGGTGGTACCTTGCTCAATAGTAGTAACTGTGAGAGGGATCTTGGAGTCCTAGTGGACAACCATTTAAATATGAGCCAGCAGTGTGCAGCAGCAGCTGCCAAAAAAGCCAACACAGTTCTAGACTACATAAACAGAGGGAGAGAATCAAGATCATGTGAAGTGTTAATACCACTTTATAATGCCTTGGTAACTGGGTATGGACTGGGTATGTCTAGTTTAATGAAAAGAAGGACTAGGAGAGACATGATAGCAGTGTTCCAATATCTCAGGGGTTGCCACAAAAAATAAGGAGTCAAACTATTCTCCAAGGCACCTGAGTATAAAACAAGAAGCAATGGGTGGAAACTAATCAAGGACAGAAGCAACTTAGAACTGAGGAGAAATTTCCTGACAGTTAGAACAATTAATCAGAAGTTGTGAATGCCCCAACACTGAAAGTCTGAAGATGCTGGATAGCCATTTGTCTGGAATGGTATAGGGTTTCCTGCCTAGGCAGGGGGTTGAACTAGAAGACCTCCAAGGTCCCTTCCAACTCTCCTATTGTATTGTATTGTAAACCAGTTTCAAGTGGTCAACAGGAGTTGCATAAATTCAAACCATTGACTTTGTAATCATCAATATTGTTGATGAAGCTTCATAAATCTATACAGCAAGATTTGTGTCAGGTGAAGAGTAAAAATTAGAACAGCTAAAGACAAATGTAAAGTGTCTCAACAATGGGCTGCGGGTGAGAAAAAGGAAATATCATAGAGACAGGTTCATTAAAAATGATCTGCATGCATCTTTGTGTGATGATTAGTAGAATGTGAGAATAAATCCTAAGGAAAGTACTCACCTCCTTCCTAATTATTGGATCAGAACTTATGAAAATTATGATAAAATATAGGGAAGGAAAAGAAGAAAGCCACCATATATTTATTCTATCATATTTATTTATTTCCAGTACTTGTTGACCATCCCACACATGCAACTTCGCTGGGATACAACAAAAAAATTCATTAAAACAAGCTATATCAAGCAGTGCATACTTCCAAAGATAACCATCCCTATCAGCCAGTTAAGGTCAATAGCATAAGAGAATAAAAAATGAAATAGTTTATGGAATGCAAGAAGGAGGATATTTTCTGTACTTTTGGAAACAGGTGGCAGAGCACTACAGAAAAGGTCTGCTGGCTGATGCAGGACTTGTCCACTTCCCATGGAGAAAAATCTCTCAGCAAGCCTCTTGAGAAATTGAAACTGGTTGGTCAGCATAATTTTGGAAAGGTAGTGTGGCACCATATATGTTTTAAAGTAATTGTATGTTTTTTAATTGGGTTTAGAAGTATCTGAGTAACCAATGCAGCAACCTGGGAGTTACTATTAATCTGAAGAGGCAGAGGTGACCTGTCAGCAGTCTGGTCAATATGTTCTGGACCAGTTGCAGCATCTGAGATTCTCCAAAACATATAGGGTGCAGAGCAGTAATCCAATCATGTGATGTGCAAAGTATGGCAAAAGCCTTCTGGTCACAACCTTTCTTGTTTAAACAGAAGCTTTGGATCCAAGAGGACTTCTAAGTCGCAACCCCTCTCTGTCTACAGTCAATATTTCTAGCACACAGTATACTGCATTGATGCAGGAAGATGCACTAATCATATTTCTTTCTATATCTTATACAATTGGTTCCCAGGGGAACTTTTCTAATTGAATTTCTTAATGCATTTCCCTTTCTGGTTTCAGTGAATTAAATTAATGGATATGAGTAAGAAAATCTTAAACTAAGAATGGCAGGCATGAATCTACCAAAGGGACAATATTTACTACCTCATTCAGCCTCTCCTGACCAAGACTTTAGAAATTTAACATTTAAAAATTTACAACCCTGACAACATGCTTGATTAATATTCCCGAGACAGAGCATCATTATATTTCTTATAAGAGTCTTTTTGTATGTCTGTGCTTGATTTGACCATTGTAGCATGTCTTCCTGGTTGTTTTTTTGATATGGGAGTCAGATTTTTATTATTACAATCACTTGGACTTTTTCTCTGACCACTACATATTTTAATATGAGGTTATGAATTATTTGCTCATACCAAGGAATCCAAGGAGTCTGGAAAAGTTTTTTTAAATTAGTTTTACTGTTTGGGTTGTTATGCCACCTGTGTACCTGGCACTTTCAAAATATAAAAACTGCTTCCTGCCTCAAGGAATTTCAATTCAACACATGGAAGCAACAGAGGAATTGGAAAACAAGGGAAGTAGAACGGAACAATCCCACTGCAGTCTTTTCGTTTTTCAACAATCAATCTCAATTTAGTAACCATTACACTCTACGCACAGAGCTGGAGGATATATATACTTCCTATTTGAATACATTCTTAATAGCAGAACTAACTTGTACTGTGAAGTTATATATATCTAGCAGTAGACATTCAATTAAAATGCTCGTTGTCTAAGCTGAGGCATAAAATTAATATCAAAGAAGGAGCTTGTAGAAACAAAGATATTGCCTTGAGATTAACATAACCAATGAATTATATGCTGTCTCCAAAAATCTTCCATGTATTCCAGTGACAGCCTTCTGATTATCTCTAGTACTGTATATCCTCCCCCATAAAAGGAAATAAAAATATTTTGTTTTTAAAAATCAGATCAATTTCTCCTCAGTGTGTTGAATAAGCAAACCTGATTAGGCATGTCCAATGAAGGAATATAGAGGTATAAATGTATTCATGTGGTAGATTCATGTATATATGGGAGGAAGAAACTGTCTGCATATATTTATGTACATTCTGTCCAACACAACGTGTCAATGCAACAAAAAGATATTAGGCTGTAAAAGACTGCAAACTCAGGGGAAGCTGAGAAAGGGAGACTGGTGTATAGAGTAGCCATTCACAAAAACTACTGTAGGAATATCTTGTAGATATTACACATCTTTACAAGTATGCCTGTGCGATATTTCCTGTCTGAGTAGAATAACATCAACCAAAGAAATGGAAAATAAAATAAAATAGACAGACAATAGATGTTCTCTTTATAGATATTTCTGGCTGAAAATGCCACTGTTGTTCACTATTAACCATCATACTTAGAAGTGATAGAAATTCTCTCTCTTCTATGGGAGAAACTGATAGATACCTGAATAAAAGTTGCTCTTTTATTATATATCCAACAACCACACGAGTGCAATCATTCTACATCTCAGCTGAAAAAATTATGTGGCTGAGATATGAATATCAGTTACCTCTGGGCAAAAAAGTCCCAGATTGTCCTCAGCATTCAGATTTCTACATACCCTCCCTTTCTTTGTAATGAATCTTCATGCATGCATTATTCCTCCATTTAAGACTAGAGTGTCCTGAGGCAGTTGCTCATCTTAAACACTAGAATGCAGCTTCCTCTAAGCCAATGTAGTGAGTGATATGTCAAGTCCGTTTATCTAATTATTCTTGCTTGAGCCACACAAGCAAGAAAAAGTGCAAAAGGCTGTAATTCCATCTGACAGTATGCCATGTCACTGATACATCTCCTTGACTCCGTAAGTTCTAACAAAATTAAAGTAGCCACAAACATATTGACAGCTTGACACAATGAGGTCAAGTCACAAAAATAAGGTTTGAATCTTTTAGTTAAGATTAACAGCCTTCAGGGAGTTTAGTGTAATACATGAACTGGTTTACTATCAAGTCAACCTTTGGAAGAGACTAACATTGAATAAGAGGAGTTTCCTTCAGTTCAGATCTAGGAGGTTTATGTCAGCCAAAAATTCAGTTTAATCACCTTTTTTGCTTGGTGATTTTCAAGTGTCAAAAATATGTTTAAAATGAAAAAGCTGCTCATTTAGATAGTAGATATGGCAGAATTAGTCTGAATTTGATCATAGTCAGGTTCTTGATCATAGACAGATAAATCGGGAGACCACAAGATAGTATAGAGTAGAGTAGAGTAGAGTAGAGTAGAGTAGAGTAGAGTAGAATAGAATAGAATAGAACAGAACAGAATAGAATAGAATAGAATAGAATAGAATAGAATAGAATAACAGAGTTAAAAGGCACCTTGGGGGTCTTCTAGTCCAACCTCCTGCTTAGGCAGGAAACCCTACACCACTTCAGACAAGTGGTTATCCAACATCATCTTAAAAACTTCTAGTGTTGAAGCATTCACAACTTCTGGAGGCAAGTTGTTCCATTGATTAATTGTTCTAACTATAAGGAAATTATGTTAATGAAGTATGATCTAATACAATAGATAACAGCCAAAGAATTGCTCTTACCTGGTGGAAGACGCAGGTTCTGTTGTTTGTCTCTGCATTCGTGTGCGTCGCATGAGATGATCTTTCATGGACATTTGAACTTCTGCTGGGATATCTGGTGACGTGTGACTAATTTTTACTGCTGCTTCCAAGAATCCAAGAGTTCCAGTATCTTTTAGCTTGTCAGCCATATTGTCTTTGTCGTGCTCTGCCAAATTCTGAGTGGTGGGGGTATTAGTTGAAATAGATTTGTTCCTCCAAGGAACCCAACACAGCTTCCAAAAAAGGAATAGAAAAACTGCCACTAGAGCCAGTCCGCATACAATTACTATCACTGCAAGAAGACTGATGGAGAGTTCTGAAGGACAAGAAATTGGGGCGGGGGAAGTGGGACAACAGGGCAGGGGGAAAGGGGAAAAAGTGAAAAAATAGTAAGAAAGAGAAAAGAAAAAAAGAATTTGATGAGAAAGATGAAAGAACAAGAACAAATTCCAAATGGTGTTCCCATTTCACCCACACATGCCCTTGCATCTACAAAGGTAATAGATTTCTTTCTTTCCATGTTTCAAGTCCTTTCAATGCCACTTTTAAAGATCTTTTGCAAAGGAAAACCACAGTTAAGGCTCTGTGTATTTCATGCTTTAAATAAGAGAATTAAATTCTACACTATCCTTTGTCAACTCTTAAATAAAAGAAGTAAACCTTATGCTATCTTTTGCTCTCCAGATGAGTTGGACTTCAACTCCTATAGCAGACTCTCTAGGCATTTTTTATACTGTTTCATCTCCTAGAGGACCTCAGCAAACCAATTAACAAACCAGGAACAGTCAACAAGGAGAAACTGCTCAGAGGCAGTCATAATCCTTCTCCAATCTGGGGTTCTTAAAATGTATTGTATTTGATGATTTGTATAATCTCTAGTCAATATGTATGTCCCAATTCAATACATCTGGAAGGCACCCAAACAGAAAAGAACAAACAGCATGCCTTCTATCTTACTGTGTACAAACCTCAGCCATATTTTCAGTACAGGTTTCTCCATTACATCTTTGGACAAGAAGCTGCTTTAAAGAGCATAGGGCAGGCATAACTAGTTTGAACAATTTCTTGTTTCTCAGACTTATCCTATGTGGTGATACAGTCATCCTGAACAGTGTTAGTCATCATCCACTAGCAATAAGACATATGATTTCTCAATTCTCTCTTTCTATCAAACCCCAATCTTCGCTATAATCATAGAAATTATGATTTGTTTGGCCAACAGACAAAAACACATAACTGTTGCCTGACTTATGCATCTGGTGATTATATACTTAAATTAATTAGCAGATTTATTTGTGTAGAAGTACAGTCAAGTAGAATAAATCTTATTCCATTTTATGAAACTTACACTTTGGCATAGTACTTGTTCTGTACTATTCATATTTCCTACTCTTTTATAAGCCATGTGGGACTGCTGATAAAGTATTGAAGGCTGGGATATTTAGAATGCAATTAATCTAAAGGTAATGACTAGTGTGTGTAACTATACATCCTTTTCAAGCATAGTTGATCAAATTATGATACTCGGAGGATTCACTTGGAGGACCCTGTGCTATCTGGATAGATAGCCATCTGGAAATGGTAATTAAGAAGCACTTTTAGGATTGTAATGTTATATGAAGAGGATATTTTCCTTAATGTATTTATTCTCAAGCTATTAATACAATTTTACAACATCTGTTAGCAACATGTGTGGATTTTAATCAATCAAAAAAGCTTCCCTGAGCTCTGATATAGTTCTTAGAACAATTTAAAGAATACTTATTAGATAGCTAAGCTTGATCAGTTATCTAGACAACTCACATCAGTTCTTTATTAGAGTTGCATTGAAAATATTCCATAAAATGCAACCTCCCTTTAAAGGAAAGTCCTCTCTATTGGGCTTCAAGGCCAGGATTTGAACTTAGATTTCACTTCAGGCCTAGACATCATTAGGAAGGAAAAGAAAAATAATACATGATGTAAACTTAAAACATGGTATTCAAACAGCTGCTGTACAGAAGTGGCAGAGAACTTGCTTTGATTGCTTGAGTTTCAACTAGCAGAAATAACCAACACAAATAATGCATACATGGAGAGGCAACTTAAAACCACCTGGTTCAGAATGTGGTCCTGGCATAAATCAGTCTGGGGAAGGAAGGAAGGAAGGAAGGAAGGAAGGAAGGAAGGAAGGAAGGAAGGAAGGAAGGAAGGGGGAGGGAGAGAAGGAGCAAAGAAGGAAGGAAGGGGGAGGGGGAGGGGAGGAGCAAGAAGGAAGGAAGGAAGGAAGGAAGGAATTCCGCCCAAATCATCTGTGGTCTGTTAAATGCCCTATAGTAAATGCAAGTGGTATGTTAATTGCTTCTATCAAGGAGTGCTTGGGTCCCTGCAAATGTTTGTCTCTCATTCCCAGCAACTAAAGCCAGAATATCCAATTGTGAAGACGGTTACTGTAGCACAGCATCTGCTGGAGGCATACAAGATCTCTGCTAGCAATGAGAAGACTGAATTTTATCAGCCTTTCTACAGCTGAACAGTTATATTTTGCCTACAGAAATGCTTTAGTATTAAACCACCCATGTATCACAGGTCAATGGGGGAAAAGGGGTTTTGTTGTCTTATTTAATAATGAATTAGGCTGCACAAGATAAACAATGAGAGTCCTGAGAGACTTGACTAATTGCATTCTCAGTGTAGCAGAGGCATGACTTTGTAGTATAGAAAGCTAACTCTGGAAAGTTTCCCAGTATTCTTCGCATCAAATAAAGCTACACAAAATCCTGGCAGAGCAGCTTGTTTCCCCTTATTTTGCCCTGCAAAAAATTATTTGCAATTGGGAAAGGTTTCTCTTTGTCAAAAGGATACGCTTCTAATGCCAGAGGAGGAGGCACTTTCATATTAAATGGCTCTGAAGGAGGTTCTTTCTGCTCAGTGTCCTTCTCCGAAAGCATATTTATCCTCTTGCAATTAGCCATGTGAATTGTGAATGAGAAACAAACACATAAAAATAATAAAAGTCTGAAGGGGTAAACATTAGCTATTTAGCCACTGATGCAAATATCAGCACTGAGGCTAAGCAACTCTGTCAGCCTAGAAGCATAAGAAGGAGTGACTGATTTTGTGCTCTTAAATATCATCCTCCTGGGCTAGCTTCCTGATAGGAAGTCAGTTTTAGTTACTTGCATAAGACTTAATTGGCCAACAACATTGCCTTATCAACTTAACTAAAAGCAAACTGTCCTCCCCGTGGCATTTGTCTATGAAAACTTACCACTCAAATCAATGTTGAAGAATGTATAATAATGCATAGTAGACTTACACTTACACTTCAGATGTTTGTCTGAACATGAGAAGGATTGAACGTGAAGAGAAAACAGGAGTTTTCATCAGTGGTGGGATTCAAATAATTTAACAACCAGTTCTCTCCCCTTATGATTTCTTCCAACAACCAGTTTATCAAACTGCTCATAAAGTTAACAACCGGTTCTCCTGAAGAGCTTTGAACTGGCTGAATCCCACCACTGGTTTTCATGCATCCTACCCAATAGTCCTCAATCTCCCTATATTTAGTCAGGACATATGAAGGGAGTTTCACTTGTATTGGCTTGAATGCAGTGGTGAAATCCAGCAGGTTTTGACAGGTTCTGTAGAGGAAATTTTGAGTAGTTCGGAGAACCAGCAAATGCCACCTCTGGCTGGCCCCAGAGATTTTGCAGTATTCTTCCCCTGGAGTAGGGAGGGAATGGGGATTTTGCAGTATCATTTCCCTGCCATGTCCACCAAGCCACGCCCACAGAATTGGTAGTAAAAAATAATAATTTCTCCACTGCTTGAATGTGAAGACAACTCTAAGTATTTCTAATACATATTCAAGAGAGACAATGAATATTGATATATTTCTCCAGGAAATGACTGAGAAACACATTAATTCCTTAACCAGTGACTCACATATCCCTCGTGCTGGTGTTCCATATCCATGGAGCATATAGATATAGACAATTTTATTATACTGCTGGACTATTCATGAAAGTAGCGGAGTGTTCCTGCATTTGGAATATAGTTAAGTCTCTGTAGACTATGTAGACTATGACCATCCCTTTTCTTTTAGCTACAATAGTTTCCCCAACATGATGTCTTCCAGGAATGCTAGATGATGGAGCAAAACTGATTAAGGATACTGTGGATTTAGTTCAATGTATCTACAGTACCAACAGCTACTGTAAATTGGGAAAACATTTGAATGTTTATGTAACTCTCAAGAATTCTTTTTTAAAACCATTGATCCAGACTTAGAAAACATGCAAAAGCACTGGAAGCTGGACCACATAGTTTCTTTAAATCTCTCTAAAAAATATAAAAATGATATGTGAAACTTACCAATTTATATGTAAGTGCTCTCTATAGCCTCTATCCTATATTTTGCTCTATCATTATTTCTATACTACTATAATAATTACTGTTATTACGAGTGTTCTCTCTACTATTATTATTGCAATGTATTCTTTGTACTGTACTTTATAATATTTCCATTCTATTACAATTATGACTGCTGGGTTACCTGAGCTGACCCCCACTTTTGGGAATGCTTTGGGTGGGTTGACTTGAGAAATAGGGGAATGAGATGATAGAGAAGTCTTAGATTGGCTTTTGTTAAATGGGAAATTTACTTCTACATTTTAAATATCGGCGGAGGGACGACGCGGCAGCCAGGGTTCAAAACAACAACTGGTTTATTCTAGGATGACAGCGATTCGAACGACAGAACGCGCGCCAAAG